TTCTTTGTTGAATTCTAGAGAGAGAGTATGTGTCGATCTTGAGATGTGTTCTTGGTGCCTCTCTAACTTTTCTAAAAAAAGAAAATAAAATTACAATGTAAAAATAAAATGATAAAAAGCTATCCTACAAAATAATTCAATTCCCTTTAAATACAAGGTCCTTTTCTTAGTCACTAAGTCAAAAATACAGCCTAAAAATATCTAATCCCGCAACTATGTGGTAGGAAAAGTTTGGGCGCGCGTGAATAAGACAGCTTGCTGCCAGCACATTTTTTATCGATCAGAGTTGGTTTGATCGATCAGAGTTCGATCGATCTCACTTTTCTCCGATCGATCAGACTTGACAGTTTTTCAGCATCAGCCTCCTTTTGCTCCAGATTCTCACCAATACTTAGTTTGACTCCAAAAAGGCTTTAAGAAGCCATTTTTAGCCCGTTTTAAATTTATTAACCTAGAAAAGGAAATAGCACGAAATTAGACTAAAACGGAAAAATAAGATAGAATAAGGTCCTAGAATACTCAAGCTTAAGGGGTTTAAATATGCATTTTTCAGCGTTCATCAAGTTTCTAACTTGGCAAGGGATTGAGAATGAGATTGCACAAGCTGAATAGTTGGTTTTAACTACTTTGCTAGCATTGCCTCGAACACTGGTAGGAATTGTTGAGGTTGATTGTAGGCATCCATAGGGGTGAACCCTAGAGGATTTGAAATCTGTATTTGCAATTGAAAATTACTTTGCATATGAGGTACTTAAGATGGAGGAGCTGAGGTTCCCATGGCTAAACTTTTCCATGAGAAGTTAAGATGGTTTCTCCAGGTCGGATTGTAAGTGTTTGAAAGCATATTACCTCCAAGCCTTACATAGGCAGCATTAACTTGCCCTTATGGAATTTCTGCAAATTGAGATGCACTCGGACAAATAGACACATGGTAAGTCAGACGAACATAAAGAGCACACCTCAAAGCCATGAGCGTCAGTTGTATGAGGAGTAAAATTGGACAGTGAAGCCATCAATTGTTCAACTTTCTTGGTCAATGCCTCTAACTAGCTCATTAGTCCTCGATTCACTCCTATTTCATTCACGCCTTCTATTCTTTTCAAGATGGTAGGTGGTCTTACTGAAGGTAAGACATGTTGCGTAGAATTATCGAATATATTTTCAAAAAACTGTCATTCCTCCTCTGCACTCTTCAATATAAAATTTCCATCACACGATGCATCCATCATATACCTTTGTGTCTCATTGAGCCCCTTATGAAAGAAGTTGACTAGCTGCCATTTTGGCATGTCGTGATGAGGACACTTCCAGAAGAGATCCCTGAATCTATCCCAAGCCTCATGAAAAGGCACCTCAGGTCCTTGAGCAAAATAGGTAATGACATCTCGATACTGAGTAGTTCTTACATGGGGAAATACTTGTTCAAAAACTTTTGTCTCAGCTCGACCCGTGTAGTGATGGAGTTCACTGCCAAGGAATTAAACCAGTCCTTCGCCTTATCCTTTAATAAAAAAGAGAAGAAGTGTAGCTTGAGTACATCATCGTCAACGTTCTGGATCTTTATTGTTCTGCACACCTCTGCAAAGTCATCCAAGTGCTAGTACGGATCTTCTTTTGATAAGCCGTAAAAAGAAAGCAGTAGTTGAAGAGTACTGGCCTTAATTTCATAGTGTTGGACCCTCACAGTAGGATACTGAATTGCAGATGACGAGTTATATACACCCAGTTCATAGTGATCTTTTAAATGGGGAACCGCTCCTGCAACTTGAACACCCCTGTTGTTCTCCGCATCATCCGCTATCTCAACCTTTTCAAGGCTTCCAGAATCTTTCTTCAAGTGTTTGAAAGTCCTTTTTATTTTTGGGTCTAACAGAAGCCTAAGGAATGACAAAGAATGTCTTCCAAGCATATAATGTTACCTGCAACAATTAAAAGAAAACAAAATAAAAATAAAATAAAATAATCCAAAACTAAGAACCCAATTGAAAATTTTTGTAGAACTTAATATCGTCTGTTAAGAACTAAAACAAGTCCCCAGCAACGGCACCAAAAACTTGTTGCAAGTTTAGATATAACCACTCATAAGCGTACGAATCTTTGCAGATAGGGTTTCTTGTAAGGGTGTCGTACCCAAGTGACTTGTATTAATTAAGTTGTTAACTGACTTCTTAAATTCTAAATTAATTTGAAGTACGACAAACAAATTATGATGGAATTGTGATTTAATCTAATGAACTCAACAGAAAATTAAATTAAAGGCAATAATTAAATTAAATGATGAAAATATGGGAGAAAAAACTAGGGACATGATTTCACCACTAACATCGCACTACCAGTCAGTTGTATCAATTTATTAGAGAGATATGAAACATGCATAAGAAATTAATCATGGCTACAAGCACATATTAATTCAGCTAGAAGATAATATAAAATCAAAGCTAAGTATGGACTATCTTCGATTAGCATAAACCATCTACCTAACTAGTCTACTCAAGAGTGTAGTACGGTCTATCTTCTCTAAACATAATCCATCAAAACCATAATATTATATTCAATAAAAAAACCATTGCAAAACCATCTCATTCACAACTACAAGTAAATTAGTTGTGTTCAATCACAAGCATTAAATACCCAAGACAAGATAGAAAATACTTTGTAATTGGGTTAAAATTTTAAAAATGATTTCTATTAAAAAGTCAAGTAAAAATCATCTAAGTTACATAATTATCCATGAAAATATTGTTCTCCAATAAACAAATACAATCAAACCAGTAACGTTAAGCTAGGGCTACATCACAGCCCTAACAAAGGTTTTAGCCACTCATAACTTGAAGAGACTTGTTCATGGTTGGGAAGAACATCTTTGCTGCCATAGGTCGATCCCTTCTTTCTTCTCCTCAGATGTCAGCCTCTAGCTCCTGTGTATGATGATCCCTAATGGTGTAGAGAAACCTCTTTAAATAAGAGAATAATAGTCCCAAAGTTCCCATTTCCAAATAGAAGATTATGGAAATTCTGTCAAACTCGGATTTCAAAATTCGTGCTGACTTTCAGCCTAGTTTTGACATAGTAAACATCATTTTCACAAAATTTTCGTTAAATACAAAATTGTAGATTTTCGAATTTCCTTTTAACCCATGTTAAGTTTGTGTTATTTTGACATTCACAGAAGGAGATACATACAAAATACTAAAACAGGTTCAAGTTCCTAATTTTGGAGAAAGTTTCCAAGTTGGAGAAGGATTCTTCATTTTCATTTTGTTTCCATTCTCATTAACTTGTGGCTTCTCTTGGGTTCTTTTATAGGTCTAATTAGACTTAGATCTTCATCATTACTTAGCCTAATGGATGTGGTCTTCTTAACCTCTTGGATATCATCTTTTAAAGCCCAAAATCACTGATTTTGACTGATATTATAATTAAGGCCCTGAAATAAAGAAAAACACTAAACCAATATAAAATCATAGATAAAACTACTGCTAAGAGAATAAAATATGCAAGTTAAGGGTTAAAATGTATAACATTCAGCGCCTAACAAGATCTATTTAATTCCTAATGCCTAGCATGTGATGGAGAGATCATAGATTCAAAGGAGAAGATATAGAATAAGGACTTACCTTATGATTTTCAGATTGAAAATCAACTATATGAATTCTCCGGTCTTATTCTCTAGATCCGGCAACCTCCAAGCTATTCTGGTTACCTTCTTCTTCCTCTTCTCTCTCTAGATCTATGTCTCTTTTGCAACTCACGTATATGTAAAAACCATCTTCTTCTAACAACTACATCTATATATAATAGCACCCAAATCTTAACCTAAGTCTAACTAAAAGTAAAAATTAAAAATAATATATATATATATATATATATATATATATATATATATATAAACACACATCATAATATATATATAAATGCACTCATGGGTCATAATTCTTACCCATTTAAGCTTTATATTCAAGTAGTTCATGAAACCCATTTGGTTGGTCCATTACTACAATCAAAATCCATCTCTTTAAACAAATAAAATATTTAAACCAAACAATTAATTACAAATAAATACACACAATTAAACAAGTAATTACACACACAATTTAATCACATAATTCACATTTAAACAATTTAAATCAATTTAAATCAATGAAGTACATAAACACATAACCACATAATCAAATAAAATAAATCCAAATAAATTCTTTTAATCTTAACTAAATTGATAAATTTAACATTATTAAATTAGATACTAATACAATATATATCTATAAATTTATATAATATTATTATTAAGGAACTTCTCAATTTGATATTAAAATGTTAAATTTTAAATTTATAAATATAATATAAAACTACAACATTTTTATTTATAGAATATATACCTTGTTTATCAATATATATATATATATATATATATATATATATATCATAGGGAAAGTGTTACTCTCCGAATCAGATTATTATACATCATAGGGAAAGTGTTACTCTCCGAATCAGACTATTAAGATGGAATGTGATGTTTGGGTTAGTTTATCAGATAAAGTATATCATTGTAATCAATAGGTTGGGAACTTTGTAAAAGATCCACAACCAAAAACACTTCATTCCTTATTTACTTAATGCGCTTACACTTTCTTTGGGTTTAATTTATGCAATTTCCTTTATAGCTTTTACATTTCCTGCAATTTCCATTATATCCACTTTACTTTTAAACAATCTCCATAGAATCACACTTCTTTTTCATTGCAAATTTTTTCTTTTTCTTTTTTGAAGTCCGTAAATTTAACTTTCAAAAGAGTTAGTATTTGCCGATGCCTTTCGTCCAATGGCTGGTTGCTCCCCATTCCCTTGGAAGCTTCGCTTTGAGTCTTGACACCTCTAACTTCTAATCTAACATTATTATCTTGGAAAAATGAAAAAGTAATTAGAATTCTCTCTCCTTTCTAAGCCAATTTCAGACTATTAGTTTATTTTATTAGTTGCATAATCATTTGCTAATTTTACAGGTTTAGAGAAATCTCCGAGTTTGAACAACTTAGAGATCCTTGATTTGAGTGATAATCTCTTCAACAATGACATCTGGTCATTTATGCAAGGACTTCCATCACTCAAGACACTGTATATGATAGAATTGAATGTAATCATTCAAAGTAGAGGTACATCTACTAATTTCATAATTTGCAGTTCTCATGACTGAGGAGATTCAATGATGATGAGTGAAAACTCACAGAAAATGCCCTTCATTACAGTATTGCCCTTAGTTTAAAACATTATATGGATTTAAATTTATGTCATTCCTGAGCATCTTCTTACGCTCCATGCATGTTTACAGACTTGCATAACCTCACGAATGTGGAAAACCTGTTCTTGGATAATGCTACTCTCAGTAATGACTTCCTTCCAAGCATTCAAGTAATGACTTCTCTTAAAAGTCTTATCACTACAACATTGTAGATTGACTGGCGCCTTACCTTCTTCAGGTAAACATGGAATAAAAATGCATTAGAACCCCATATTTGGGCCAGCTTGGTTTGTAACTCTGAACAGAAAACTGTTTTCAAAGAATTATAAAAGACAATTTTTTGTAATTGAGAGTTTTCAGAAAATAGAACGAAGCAAAGTTTTTTTTGTAAAGTTTTATGTTTTCAATTTTATGAAAAAAGAAAATTATTATCAAAGTTCCAAACCAAGCAAACTCTGTCTTTCTCATTCACTTTCTCTCTCGCGCGCACACACATATAAGTTTATGTTGCCATATAAAAATGTTAATTATGCCAATTAAATTAATTCCAATGTTTAGGGCTGTGTGAACTGAAGAATCTTCAGGAGCTTGACCTGCATGATAATAAAATGGAGGGTGACTTGCCTCAATGCATGGAAAAGATGACATCCCTTCGGTTCTTGGATCTCTCTTCCAATCAATTTACTGGGAATATTGCATCCTCTCCACTTGTTCATTTGACCTCTCTTGAATACCTTGCCCTGTCAAACAACAATTTCAAAATTCCAATCTCCTTCGGATCATTTTTCAACCAAAATTGAAGGTCATTGACAGCCTGAACAACGAATTGTTGGCCGAAACAGAGTTTGATCAGACCTTGGTTGGTGGCCCAAGTTTTCAACTAATTGGCATCCGTTTATCTGATCGTGAATTTGGCAATGTCAAGAGTAGTAGTACTGGAGCCTTTCCCAACTTCCTCTACTACCAAAAGGACCTCCAACAAGTTGAGCTTTCAGTTGCCACTCCTTGCCAAGACCGGGCTTCTAGCATTGGACATATCCAAAAATCACTTCTGTGGCAACATTCCAGAAAACATTGCTATGGCTTTTCCGGGTTTAAAATTCTTGAACATGTCTCTAAATGACTTTGGAGGTACCATTCCCTCTTCATTAGGTGATATGTCCTCTCTGCGTTTACTGGACTAATCAAATAATCAACTCTCGGGTGAAATACCTGACCACTTGGCAATGGGTTGCTTCTTGTTGAGATATTTGAAACTATCATATAACAATTTGCAAGGCCTGGTGTTATCAAGAAAAAGTAACCTGACGAGGTTGAGTTTTCTTATACCTGGACAACAATAACTTCACAAAGATCTCAAGTAGCTTATCTATCTCTTCGGAATTGAGAAGCTTGAATACTAGTACAAATCATTTGTCAGGGAAGCTACCTGGGTGGATGGGAAGTATGTCATATCTGAGGTATATTGATATGTCCGGAAATCATCTCGAAGGTCCTATTCCAACTGAATTTTGTCAGCTTTTTAGACTTCGGGTTTTTCACCAGTCTGAGAACAACATTACGGGGACTATACCTTCTTGCTTCAACATGGAAGACAGAGCGTGTTCATCTGTCTAAAAATAGGCTGCAAGGACCATTTCCACATGCATTTTACAACAGCAGCTCATTAGAGATCTTAGATCTTTCATACAACAACTTCGCCGGTCACATTCTGAACATGATTATTAATATAACCCTTTCTAGGTTGAGAATTCTTCTCTTGAAAAGTAATCGCTTTGAGGGCGAGATCCCCACCAATTTATGCGGCTTGACCAAGCTGGGGGTGATTGATCTTTCTCATAATAACTTTTCTGGCTCTATTCCTCCTTGTCTAAGTCACATCAGTGTTCAGGGACCAACTCAGAGAACTATACCTAGTTTTCTAATAATTCCCTATTTACAGTTAAGTGAGTTCACGTTATTCTTAGTTGACTTGAAGCTGATGTCAAAAGGCAGACACAACATATACTATGATTCAATAATTATTGTTCGTACAAAGGCACAAGTAGTGTTCACAATCAAAAGAGTTGCCCGCTCTTACAAGGGAATCAATCTTGATCTCTTCTCAGCAATTGATCTCTCCTGCAACAAATTGACTGGCCACATACCAAATGAATTTGGAAACCAAGGCGAAATCAAGTCGCTTAACCTGTCTCACAATGCCCTGAGCGGGACGATCCCAACAACTTTTTCAAATCTGAATAATATAGAGAGCTTAGACCTCTCCTTTAACAACTTGAGTGGAGAAATTCCTTCACTGCTTACTGAGCTACGCTTTCTGGCCGAGTTCAATGTCTCGTACAGTAACTTATCTGGCAGCATACCACGGAGTCAAAGTATTGTCCAATTCGATACATTTGATAATAGTAGCTACATCGGGAATCCTCATCTTTGTGGACCACCACTTTCAAGAACTTGTACTGCCATTGAGCCATGGTGAATCATCATGAATTGCAGTGAAGTCGATGGCTTCATGGACATGGAATCTTTCTACGTGAGATTCTCAGTGTCCTATATAATTATGTTATTAGGGATTGCAGCTGTTTTTTACATCAACCCCTACTTGAGACGGGCATGGATTCATCTAGTTGAGGTGTGCGCCACATCTTGCTACTACTTTGTTGTGGACAATTTTCGAAAGATATTTTGTCAAGGATATTATTAGGCATATGTGTGTAATGCTGGTTGCATGTAACCCTTTTTATTGTTTTTCCTTTCCGGCTGCTGCTGCTTTGGAGATCAAACTATATAACATCTCCCAGTTATTATCAATCATGTTTGGTTCACTAAGAAATAAATTTGATGTTTCGTAATTCAAAATTTCTTAGTTATTTTACTCTAATTTTACACTACGTTTGATTCTATTGTTTAAGTTTTGTATCAAACGATTTTGCTCCACTAAAATGGAATATATAACAATGAAAAATTCCAATAATTGAAATATAAGAAATCACCCGCTCATACAAATCTGCCCCAGTTCTTTCTCATGTCGAGCCATTAATTATTGACGATCAATCTTTGAACTGGCCTACACTAATAGTCTAACAACTAATCAAGCTTCATTCCAGAAGGATATATATATATATATATATATTCTTTTCAACACGACGTAAGAGTTTACATGGAAAGTAATGTGTCGGAGGGTAAAATAAAAGTGTGACGGTTTGATTTTTATCATTTTTCCAGACATTTTGATTATGTGCATTATTTATTTACTATGGGGGTTATGATTAATTGCAAATATGGTTATTTTATTTAAATGTTATTTGATTATTTTATGAGGAGTATTGTGGACTTTTTTTATGCAAATGGCATAGTTGGTATTTGGTTATTTCTCGGGGGGTATAGTAGACTTTTATCATACAAATGGCATGATTGTGAATTTGGTAAAGTTAGAAGGGCTTTTAGTCATTTTATTGGTCTAGTCTTTGACCAAAGATGAGTTTGACATGTGAGCGTTGTGTGTGGCAGCACCATATACATTTTGTATTGCTAGCAAAAGAGCAAGTACAGATGCACATGGTGTAAATCCAAGTTACTAATAATATTATAATAAATTAAAAAAAAAAAATTTATTTGATCAGTAATTAAGTTGATAAGCTGTAATTTATTTAATTTGATACTTTTCAATGTGAAGCAAGAAATATGAAAATATATCTTCATATGTCATTTATATCACAAATGAGCTTCTATTTTTAATTTGCATTTTTGTTACTTGTATTAAATATTTTTTTAATTTTATTACACTTCTATCTATAATCATTCTATGTAGAAATCTCTCAAGAGAACAATTCTTGTATATTTTCACGTTCAAATATTTTAAGTGATCATTAAGCACCAAAAGATATCTTATTATTTTGCTTCTTAGACTTTAAACTCAAAACCATGTATATTAAGATATATTCTAAAATATAAATTCTAATCAATTATATATATTCTAAAATATAGGATTCAAGACAAGCAAATAACTTAACCAAGCTAATTGATGCTCCTGGTTTGTTGCACATGAATTCTCATCCTCACTACCAAAGCTAATTGATGAAATGTGCTCCTTGATACTTCTTCTTCTTGTAATCCCTACTTGTAATGTTCTTATTGACATCTAATCTTGCTGCTCTCTCAATATTGGAGCTTGATTTTGTAATTTTATCCTCTATTTATATAATAGACCTTTATATTATTGTTCAAAATTTTAAGAGTTTAAATATTATTAAAGTTTAGAAATTTCAAGAGTTACAAAAGTTTTGCATTAAACATAAAAATAATAAACTTTTAATGAAATTTAACTTTAAAAATTCCAAGAGGTTGTACACTTTTGTAGTCCACTTTTAATGACATTTTTTGAGATTGAAAATCCCAAAAGTTATCAACCATTCAAAAAATGAAATGAAATGAAATTCAACTAATTAATGTCCACTAATACTTTTTAATAAAATTGGATTTAATTTAAAGTGAAAAAAAAAAGTGAGTTAAAAAATACTTGGTTGGAGATTTTAAGTATCAAAATAAAAATAATACAGTTTTAATGAAAATTAAGGTTGAAAATTCACTTTTAATCAGATAAAAAAACATGTTCTTTTGGTTTTTCTCAACTTTTTTCATAAAATATTAGGTCATATATAATATATACATTTATAAGTTATATTATTAATGAGGCAAGATTCATTATACTTTAATCAACTTTTTCTTTTTCTTTTTTGTTTAACCTTTCTGGAGGCACTTTAAACCATTATATATAGTTGATATATACATTAATAAAAATTTCTAAATTTAAAATAACAAAAAATATTTGGAAATAGAGAAAATGTCTGAAGATGGGTAGAAATAAAACAAAAAATGGTACATTTTTTCTTTTCCCTTTTACGTTTTCTTTTTCTGTTTATTATGCGTTTTTTTTTTTCCTTTTTTTTTTTAAACAAAGTTCTTTCAAATATGATTAATCTTTGAATTCCAATAGTCACATATGATTAATGAGTGTATATATATTTTCATTATTTCTATACATTTTTAATAATTTTGAATTAGAGTATTTATTTAATGATTAAAATAAAGAGTTAATACAAGTACTTTTTATAACTAAATACATACATACCGGAACCAATATTCAGAAAAAGAGAAAAAAAGAAAAGAAAAATATTTTCATCCCACTTCTTAAAAAGCAACCCATTTTCCTTCTCCAAAAATTCCATGCCCTAATCCACAATATTCAAAATAAATAAATAAATAAATACTAAAAGTGTAAAGAATTTTTTAACATTTTTTAATTTCAAATTTTAATGTGTAAAGCACTTTCTCTATTTCTTAATATTTTTAATTTTTTTTCATAAAAATGTCTCATTAAATTATATAATAATTCATACAATAATGAGACATTTTTTTTTTTTTTTTTGTTGAAATGTATTTTTTGGTTACATATATTTATACCTAAAATAAATTATATTTTATTCTAAAAATGTAAAGAATTTTTTGAATTTCTAAACGTTTTTCATATATGTTAAATAAAATAATTTTATTAAATGTATCTTTTTGGTTATATATCTATACCTAAAATAATATATTTTTTATTCTAAAAGTGTAAAGAATTTTTTCAATTTCTAAACTAAAAGTGTAAAGAATTTTTTGAATTTCTAAATTTTTTTGATATCATTTTGTTGGAATACATTTTTTTTCCTTTTTTATATTGGAGAATATGAAGAATAAAAAGTATAATTAATTTGATTTAAAAATACTTTTAATATCCTTTTAATATAAAAATTATGGTTTAAATATATACATATATAAAAAGAGTTGAAGAATCTGAACAATCAAATAGTATAATTAATCGAATTAAAAACATAATCTTTTGGCCTTCCTCAACATCAATTGTAATTATTATGAGATTTCCTCAGGAGTTTACACATCATAAATTAAATGTCAAATTTAGTTCCTATAATTTTTTAATCTTTTACTAAAATTCTAGATATGAAATGACCTTGTTTAAGATTTTAAATCTTTCAAGTTGAGGGGACAATTCAGATCCCATGGATGTATTAAATTCACAACCCTTCCATCAACAGGTTTCATGGCTTTAATGCAATCCATATTCATGTGAAACCATAAAAAGGGACTAAGGAAAAAGAAAATGAATAAATAGTCAAGTGCAAACAAGAGGATTAGTTAAAACAATTACATGAAAAAAAGCTTAAAAGCCAATATTTGATTATCAATTTGTCATGATTAAAAAGCATGTACTAACCGTTAATGCTCATTATCCACTTTTTCAAAATTCCAATCAAAACCTTGAGGGTTGGTCAACAAGGTCCATATTCATTTGTTGAAGCAATGTCTCCTGAAAGTTAAAGGTAGAAATGTTAGAATATATTGTTACCATGTATAAGAAAGAATATGCAAGTCTCACAACAATAAAGAATTGGTAATGAAAAATTGAATAAAAACACCATAGCCATAAAACATCAAAGAGGGAAGCAAATAAAATATCACAGAGAGAATCTTTGCTTTTCTTTTCGGCCAATCAAAAGATATAGATAATTCTCCATTAATGCAACTCCAAGAATCTCTCAAATTTAGAAACAATTTTGGGCAATTCAAGCTAGCAAACTATTTACAACTTCTTTGGTTTAGTGCAAAAATAGTGAAAAAAAATCTCAAAAGGCACAAATATTAAATCGTAATTAAGAGCAATTGAATTCCAATTATTATGACTAAAAACTATATTTAATCAAATAATAAATTTTATTAGAAAATATTTGGTACACTTTGAATCAAATCAAAAATCTTATTTTTAAATTTTAAAAAATATGAAAAAAAGTTTTAAAAATTCAAAAAATTCTTTACACTTTTAGAATAAAAAATATATTATTTTAGGCATAGATATATAACCAAAAAGATACATTTAACAAAATTATTTTATTTAACAAATATGAAAAACGTTTAGAAATTCAAAAAATTCTTTACATTTTTAGAATAAAAAAATAAATTATTTTAGGTATAAGTATATGTAACCAAAAAATACATTTCAAAAAAAGAAAAAAAAAAAGAAAAAGAAAAAAAAAAAAAAAAAAAAGAAGTCTCATTATGTTATGAATATAAGAACCTGAATATCTCCATACTATTGTGTTAGAAGTTCAAGAATTGCAACAGCCAAAAAAATGTATCATTATGGTATGAATAATTACATAATTTAATGAGACATTTTTATGAAAAAAAAAATTAAAACAATTAAGAAATAGAAGAAGTGCATTAAAATTTGAAATTAAAAAATGTTACGAAATTCTTTACACTTTTAGTATTTTTTTTTTTTTTTTTTTTTTAATATTGTGGATTAGGGCATGGAATTTTTGGGAAAGAAAAATGGTTTGCTTTTTCAGAGGTGGGATAAAAAATGTCTTTCTTTTCTTTTTTTCCATTTTTTTAATATTGATTTCGGTATGTGTGTATTTA